AAAACTCATCGCATAAATATGAACGAGTTTAAGAAAATTTCATAACCCAGCTTATAAAATTTCATCTCCACGAGTCAAAAAAATCACATCCCTCATCTATCGTAACAACTTTAAAGCTAAATAAATAAAAGTCTAATTACTACTATAAATCCATTATCTATATAGATTTTTTAAAAATCTAAATTTCACCTGTCTAATTACTAATATTTTAGATACTTTTAAATATTATTTGTATAAATTTTTTTACACATTTGCTCTCTCTCTCTCTCTCTCTCTATATATATATATATATATATATACATATATGGAGGTTAAATGAAGAATTTTTAGACATATTTTCCTTACGGGTAGTTTAAAAAAATTTAGGTAGCTTCAAACATTATTTATGAATAATATATAATATTTTAGATGTTTTTATAGATGTTATAAAATATTTTAAGTATTTTTAATATTTATATAACACACTTAAAAAGAATATTTTGCCAAAAAAACATTACATACACATTGCAAATGTTAATAGAAACAGTCTTCAGTGTTCGTCTTTGATTTTGTCAAAACAAATCTCATAAAATCGGTGAAGTCAAAATTTGTACGTAAAGTCTATCTATACTAAAAAAAGGGTAGATTCAAAATTCTTTATCTAATTTCTTCTTTTCCTTATCTAATTTCTTCTTATTATCTAATTGTATAGAAATCTATTCTTATTTTGTTCAATCCTCTAATTGTATTTGTATTATATCCCATAAAATCGGTTTAACAAAAAAATCCGATAAGTAAAAAAAAGTACGTAAAATCTTTACTAAAATAAAAAAAAAAAAAAAGTTTTATTTATTATCTAATTTATTATCTAATTGTATGAAAATTTGTTCTGATTTTATAGTACGTACTACAAATTGTGCACTCGTGTTCAGGAGCTATTTAACGGGCAAGCTTTGTGGAAATAAGTCATTTAGTGCTTCTGTCCCGTGCATACGGTATGCATTTGTATTACACATACTAGAAAATTGTGCACCCCGTGCATCGCACGGACTCTGTACTAATAAATGACCTTAAAATTGTGCACCCCGTGCATCACCTGTGTTCACATTTTGGCCCATTACAAGTCACGTACTACATATATCCCATACATTTTTCTTTATTCATTTATATAATTATAAGAAAAGATAAATGACCTTAATTTTGTGCACCCGTGCATCGCACGGGATCTGTACTAGTTATGTTTTTAAATACAAACCAACATCTCAAGCATTAGCCGATTAATTTTGTTAATTACATTCCTAAAATGAAAATAAGATGAAAAACGAGGAAGAACTAATTAATGACAATGTGTAATTGTTCATTTGTCAATATCATTAAGGAAAATACTAAGATCCTGTTACGGGACGGTACCGTTAGTGTTTTCCACCGTTGGATAAGTAAAGTAGATTATGTTGTGTGAATAATTTACGATAACAAACCGTGACGAAACCATTCCCACCTTAGCCGTAATAATGACAAATTTTATAGATTAACTTGATGCATTATTTTTTTTCATAAAAAAAAAAGGATACTAATAATTATATTCCCTCTGTGAAAAGTTCTGTTGGGACTGCACACTGCACACTCCACAGTACGTTTTTGTTCTTTGTGTGCCCACCACGCAAAAAATTTTAACCTTTTTAGATTTTCATTTTTAACCTTCTTACTTGGAGCCCAAGCTGTGAAAAATGTGAATAAATTACTGTGCTCTCTGTTGCTTTTTCCAATAACAAATAAAAAAGATCAGAAAAAAAAAGAAAGAAAATCCGAAAATGGGGTACAAGACGAAGAAAAAATCTTCAAAGCCGCCGTCGACTGAGGGAGCGTCGTGGCTCGACCTCCCTCTGAAAAAGGGGCCGACGGTCCTCGAACACCTCAGCGGGCTCGGGGGGCCAACCAAATCGTGGCGGACGCCGGCGGACGCTTCATCGTCCGACGCAACAGCAGAACACGACAGAGCCGCAGATCTCGTCGAGATCAACCTCCCGCCGCCGCCGGTCCCCTGTCGGAAGTTCAGATACGACCCCGACGAACTGGAAGGCTTCGGCTACTACTCCAGGAGGAGGGAGGACTACCGGCGCTCCGGCGGCCAGGGGATCTACTTCAAAGGCTACTCCCACAACCACCTGATCGCCCTCGACGCGAACCTCTCCGCCTGCTACATACAAAACGGCCTCATGGGCGGGCTCCATTTCCCACCGCCGTGGGACAGCGGCGTTCCGTTCAAATCCGCCACGTCGGCGTCCTCCTCCTCCTCCACCTTGGAGACGATGGTCATAACCGGAATCTCGACCCCTGCCTTTGGGTTCTACAAGAGCAATCACCGGGAAAATGGATGGACTTACGTAAACTGCACTGTTGTAGATCCGTATTCGGCCGCAGCCGGCGACGGCGAGTACATGGAGTTCACTAATGCAATTGGGCTCGAGGGGAAATACTACGCAATCAGCCGGCAGGGGAGTCTTGCTGTAATCGAGGACGTCAGCAACACCTGCAACTTCCAGATTACAGCTGTAGGGGAAAATCGGGCCGTGCCCAGCTGCCAAGGCACGAAGCATTTCAGGGAGCACTTGCTCGAGTACGGTGGGGAGATCTATTTGGTTTTTCTGGTTTCAACAAAATGGGTGAATGTGGTGGACCGAGTCGAGGCTTTCTGGCTCGACAGGTCAAGGCTCGTGTGGGAGAACGTGGAGAAGATGCTTCCGGAAGATGGGGTGTTTTTCGTCGGGCCCAAGGCGTGCATGGGGATTAAATCGGGCCTTGTCGGTTGCAAGGGTAACCGAGTCTACTTCAAGCATGATGGGGCTGACACTTGGCATGTTCTCGATATGGGCTCGGGAGAAATTTCGCAGACTTCTGGGCCTGAACTGGATCTTACGGAGGCCCACATTCCGGCTATAATTTATACTGTCTACGACTACTGAAGGTGAAGGATTAGCTTTTTGTTTGTGTTTATGTTTGTGTGTTTGTGTTTGTGTTTATGTCTAGTCGTATGCTCATTTCTAGTGGTTTTTCTAGTTTCGTCTTTAGGTTTGCGAAATCGTGTTTATGTGTGTAGCTAGCTGGCAGGTCTTATGTGCTTTTGTTCGAGTGGATTTGGTCTTGTCTTCGGTCGTTCGATGTTGGTGAAAGTTCGAATATGAAGTAATGAAAAAGAATGGCCTCTTTTTGTTAGACATGTTTGTGATGATGTTAATTTGGATTTTGGTTTAAACAGATATGAACAAACATACAAGCAAACAGGGGTTGAAGCCTTAGTGAATTGAAAATGAGCTATTTTGTCTCTTCAACCATATGGAAAACCTGGAATTTGGTATTTTACAACCAGAGTTTTTCTACTAGGCTCGATCTACGACTAGTCTAATTGATGTTCGTGGTTAACCGTTGCATTTTTTGAAAGTGTGCTTGTGTTTTTCTCCCTTAATGAGTAACTATAAATGAAAGTACATAGATTTAACAGTCCTGCAGATTTATAGTACTTTTTATTAAGGAAAAAATGAAATATAGCCGTGTTTTATAAAACAATGAAATCTAGCCATTTTAGGGGTTAAAAGTACGATTATACACTTAGTAATGTTTACCTACCAATAATAATTAAAAAAAAAAAGAAAAAAGAGTCATATTACACGCACGCGATTCGTTTACTGCACATCTTCTCTTCTCTTCTCTTCCCTGCGCGTGCACGGCCCTGTAAAAAAAAAAACAATTCTCATATTCCCAGAATTTAGTAAAGTGAATCATCTCGACCAAAAATCATCTCCAACATCCCAAGTGAATCCCTCTTTGAAAAAAAAAAAAGGTATATTAACCTAAATCTAATATTATTTTTGTTCCTAAAATATTGATTTGTCTAGTACCAATCTATTTTGTTGAACTCATATTTTTTTAGAATTAAAAAAATAGAGTTTTTGTGCTATATTTTTTACAAAGGACATATGATTAACATCAAGCAAAAAACAGAGAAGAAAATGGAAAAAGATACACTAAGTAAAATGCTGGAAATAGGAAATGAAAGGAAGGAACAAGAAAACCTCCTTTTGACCGAAATCTGGCCGGATAATGAAGATACGTAGTCTCCCGGCTCAGATCGTCCTTCTTTCCGGCTCCCTCGGTAAGTCGCGGCTCGGTGGTGGTCAAAAGGACGACGACCCCGGTTCCACGACCCAATCCTCGGGCTGCACCTCACACACGGTGACGCACCCAGTCCTTCGTCGCAAAGCCTCGCCTTCCCACAAAAGAGCTCGCCGGAAAGCACCCCGCAAGGGCTTGAACCGGCGAAGGGAAGCTAGGCGACGAAGACGGCACAGTGGTGGTACTCCGACGGCAAAACGGCGGCACTCACACTCGAAGGTCACAAAAAACAGAAAAGGAGAGTGAGATCGATGGTCGATTTTCTCACAGAGAGAGAGAGATTTTCAGGCGCAGCAGCAAAGAGAGAGCTCAAGACATAGGGTTAATGAGAGGAGGGGGCATATATATGGTGCAAGAGAATGGTTAGGATTTAATCCCCAAATCCTACGGTCCAAATTAATTCCTGCCACTTGAGTGTGTAAGAGGGCCAGGCCCAGTCGGAATTGGGTCGGGGCTTCCTTGGGCCTGAGATAAGGTAAGTGGTTTTGGGCCAATATCCCAACATTTCTCCACCGAATTTGGCCCACCACCGAATACCGGACACCTTGAGGGGCCGGAGGACTTTCATCATTGCCTAACTACACCTGCACTTTTCACGAAGTTAGCACAAGTATAACAACAGGCAGCAGACACATAGAACACTACCTGATCGCACAACAATTACAAGCACATCAATCACACGAATCGAAGTTCAAAATTCTCATGTAGGTAAGCACTTAGTTCCCATATCAGCGGGGTTAAACTCGGATGCAATTTTTTCAAGATTAGCTAAGCCTTTAGACACAATATCACGTATGAAATGGAACCTAACGTCTATATGCTTAGTGCGATCATGAAACACAAGATTTTTACACAATTGAATCCTCTATTGGCTATCGGAAAACACGACGACATCTTTTTCAAGCAAACCGATTTCACATAATAAGCCTTTCAACCAAACAGCTTCTTTCAAAGCCTCAGTTACAACAACATATTCATATTCGGTCGTAGACAAAGCAACAATATGTTGTAGTTGTGATTTCCAACTTACACAAGAGCCACACAAAGTAAACACATATGAAGTTGTTGATTTCCTATTATCTCTATCATTTGCATAATTCGAATCAACATAGCCAACAAGTTTAACACCCTCTAAACACTTAGAAAATTTCAGACCAACATGCATAGAACCATTCAAGTAACGTAACAACCACTTAAGAGCATCCTAATGAGGCATACTCGGATTAGACATGTACCTACTTAAACAACTAACAGCATATGCAATATCCAACCTAGTACAAACCATGAGATACATTACAGAACCAATTGCATTTGAATAAGGCACATTTTTCATCAAATCAATTTCAAAATCAGTCTTAGGAGACTGATCCTTACTTTACACAAAGTGGGCAGCAAGAGGGACATTCAAGGATTTTGCGGACGACATTGAAAATTTACTCAAAATCTTCTCCACATAAGAAATTTGATTAAGAAAAAGCACAGAGTTTTTCCTATCACGAATAATGTTCATTCCAAGAATCCTTTTAGCATCTCCAAGGTTTTTCATATCAAATTTATCACTTAGACATTTTTGAACATGCTCAATAGACTTAATGCAAGGACCGACCAACAACATATCATTAACATATATGAGCAGAAAAATAGGAACATTCGCATTTTCTTTAAAGTACAAACAATGATCATAAGAACTTCTCTTAAACTTTAAAGAAAGCATGAACATATCAAATTTCTTGTTCCATTGCCTAGGAGATTGTTTCAAAAACCATACAAGGATTTCTTTAACAAACACACATAATCAGATTTCTTAGCATCCACAAAACCGACAGGTTGTTTCATATATATTTTCTCATCTAATTCACCATGCAAGAAAGCAGTTTTAACATCCATTTGCTTTAATTCCCAATCAAAGTGAGCAACTAAAGCAAGCATGATACGCACGGTTGTGAATTTAACAACAGGAGAAAATATTTCGGTATAATCAATACCCTCACGTTGAGTGAAACCTTTTGCTACGAGTCTAGCCTTAAACCTAACCGAATCATTCTCTTGTTTAACCTTATACAACCATTTGCAATCCACTAAGGAACAATTATCAGGTTTAGGCACAAGCCACCAAGTATGATTCACATGCAACGAATTAATTTCTTCACGCATAGCATTCATCCATTGCAAAGAATTCACAGATTTAAGAGCTTCCTCATAACACTTAGGCTCACAATTATCAATGGATTCGAAAACACCAAAAGCATATAAAGTCATGTGAAAATCATCAAACTTAGAAGGTTTCTTATGCTCCCTTCTAGTCCTATCTCTAGCAAGTTGATAATCATGCAAATCAACATCATTTTCAGGCACATTTTCCACATATTCATCATGCACATCGACATTTTCACCATTTTCAGCACGCTAATTTTCAGTTTCAGCAGTTACAGGTTCATTTTCAGCAATTTCAGCATGTCGATTATCAAACACAGCACGTTCGGTTTCAGTTTCAGCATGCATATTTTCAAAATTATCGAAATCACTTAAACCACTCAATTGCTCCACCGCATTTGGAGCATTTTCAGATTCATCAGGTAAAGGAGCAGGCAAAGAAGCAATTAAACATGACATTTCAGATTCATTGAACACAACGTCACGATTTATTACGACCTTAAAGCCGGGTACGCTTCTAAGCCACAATCTATAACCTTTAACACCATCATGATATCCTAAGAAAACACATTTCATCGAGCGAGGTTCAAGTTTATCAAGTTTCGTATGACAAAATGCAGCACAACCGAAAACACGCAAGTTTGAAAAATCAATTTCTTTACCAGACCAAACAAACTCAGGACATTTACCATACAAAGGCACGGAAGGCGACCTATTTATCAAATAAGCTGCAGTTAAAACAGTGTTACCCCAAAACTTTTTTGAAAGACCCGAACTAGACAACATACACCTCACCCTTTCAAGTAAAGTTCTATTCATTCGCTCGGCAACACCGTTTTGTTGAGGGGTGTAAGGCACGATTTTATGCCTTTGAATACCAGATTGAGCACATAATTCATCAAACAAATTATTATAATTCAAGCCCATTATCAGTCCTAAGAATTTTAATCTTTTTACCGGTTTGGTTTCCAATCAAGGTTTTCCAAGTCTTAAACGTTTCGAAAACAACAGATTTATTTTTCAAAAGAAACACAAAGACTTTTCTTGAAAAATTATCTATCACAGACAAGAAATACCTACTCCCGTCATGTGTCGGAACACTAGCGGGACCCCAAACATCGGTATGCAAATATTCAAGAATATCCGAACACATAGAGGATTTAGGGGAAGGTGAAACAGGAAATTTAACACGTTGTTGCTTGCCGAGTACACAAGAATCACAAAACGGCACACAAATTATCTTTACCAAAACAGCCCGCTTTATGCAAACTTTCAAGACCACGACTACTCATATGACCTAAACGTCTATGCCAAAGATCAGTTTGGTCCACATGAACAACATTCACAGAAATTTCAGCATGTATTCACAAGTAGCAGTGCAAACATACAAGTTTTTCCTTTTTTCAACTTTGAAAATAACCAATGAACCTTTCAGAATTTTCATAACCCCTTTACCCCAGTTACCCTCTAACCCGTCATCCTCAAGAGCAGCACAAGAGATCAAGTTATGGCATAAGTCAGGAACATGACGAACATTTTTCAAACAAAGCACATAGCCAGAATTAAACTTAAGGCACACATCACCAATACCAGCAACATCACAAAGCTTCTCATTTGCCATAGAAACGAAGCCATTTTA